GTAGTATTTAAATTGATAATGTAATAGTTTTTGATGCACTATAGAGGACTGTCCATTTTCCGCTTAATACTCAATTTCTCATTAAAGGTATAATGAATTTATGACATCCATTTTTTTGATACCATTCGCTATTCTGATCGTAATTGGCGTTGGTTCTTTAACTTTCAGTTTTTTTCTAGTAAGTGATGTTTTTCTTTATTTAATTTAATTTTGAATTGCTTTTTAAGTAACGATTTATTATAGTTCTCTCAACAAATAATATCAAAAAATATCAGTAAGGCATTTATAACCGCTATATTAGTACTTATTTATTTGAGTTATTTGTTCGTTGCTAATTACTGTGGACAAGCAATAATCAATAATGGAACAAACTTGTTCCAAACTACGTAAGTTTTGCATTTTTATATTGGTTATAAATCCACTATTATTGACTAAATTCGTTTAACGTCGACGTCATGTTTTGATATTTTGAAGTTAATTTCACGCTACTTAATAAAATATCTTCAATTTTTTATCAGTTTAATTTTAAGCTTAAATCTATTTTTGTAGTTATAATGGATTATGGTACGCGGCACCATTGCCTACTCAGAAATTATTATTATTTATACTGCTAAGAGAAAAAAAACATATTGTTTTATCGGTTTTCGGCATACTTATTGGGTCCTTGGAATGTTTCGCTAAGGTAAAATTAAAATTTATTTATTTAATAGATAACAATTAAATTTTAAATATTTATGTAATGGATCAAGAAATATTCACTTTTTCAGCTTACAAGTATGGCAGTATCTTATTTCACGGTGATTTATTCTACGCAAAAATAATAATCTATACAGAAAAAATTGATTTAATTAATTTTTTTAACAATGTTGTGTAACGTATGTGTATAAAAAAACGTTGAATATATGCTACTAACAATAAATAAACTTTAATTTTTTCCTAACACATTACACGTAATATTAATGACGATATATTGTTAAAGAAAAAAAAAATTTTGATAGAATTTAGTGAAATATTGAAAATAACTAAATAAAAATATTTGCTTGATTGCATATTGCTTGTTCTTAATAACTGCTTAATTTATTTATAAAAATAAATTATAATTATTATTTAACATATGAATTATAATAATTATTTAAAATATCCTTTCTGTATGATCTATAGCTATATGTATAGAGAAAAGGTTATATAGTATAATACTGTTGTACACAATATATATTTGACATGATGTATTTGGCTAATAAATATAATAGATATATAATTCAATATGTCTCTTTCACTAATCTCTATGTCTCATTTACTATATTTCTTCCACTTTTACTTTTTTTTACGTAAACTCAATTTGTCTAAAAACATTTAAGAAAACTTGTCTAATTTCCAAATAATCGAATCGATAATGTGCAACAAAATACTAAAATTTATTAGAGATGATTATTTAGAAGTTTATTTGTTGTTCCGTAAGTATATATTCTGTTAGTGCCGCGTTCAACGGTTTAGTACAGACTGATACGCCGTTCGGCACATTACTGAGCGTACTCTACACTGCGCATATGTACCAAAACTATAGAAAGTGATAATATAAAGCATTATTGTCATACAATGGGATTAAGAGAAATCTTACAGCAATTTGAATAATTTATGTTTTCTTTCTAGTCTTCTTAGACGAGATACACCGAAATGACTATAACTTTTCCGTCAAAATAAATTTAATGTAAATTTCATCTGCTATGTTATATAATACAATAACTCCATTATATAGGATCCTTCATGTTTAACTTTTCCTTTATATTTAAAGGTTTCTAACACTCTACTTTTATCATTTAATATACTATATTGGCATATTGCGTCATTGCTGTCTTTGGAGTATTTTTATTGAATGTCAATTTATTCAAAGTAAATATGGCTTT